ATCTAGTGAGATGATCATGTGGGGTTTTTTTCTCAGTCTGTTTATATGGTGGATTACATTGATAGATTTTCATATGTTGAAACATCCTTGCATCCCTGGGATGAAGCCTACTTAATCATAGTGGATGATTTCTCTGATATGACGTTGTATTCGATTTTCTAGGATTTTTATTGAGTTTTGCATCAATGTTCATGAAGGATATTGGTCTGTAGTTCTCTTTCTTAGTTATGTCTTTGTGTGGCTTGGGTATCAAAGTTATTGTAGCCTGGTAAAAAAGAGTTTGTTAATGTCCCTTCTGCTTCTATTTTGTGGAACAATTTGAGGAGTATTGGTATTAGCACTTCTTTGAATTTCTGGTAGAATTCTGCAGTGAATCCATCTGGCCCCGGGCTTTTTTTGGTTGGGAGACTTTTGATGACTGCTTCTATTTCCTTAGAGGTTATAGGTCTGTTTAAGTTGCTTATCTGTTCTTGATTCAATTTTGGTAAGTGATAACTGTCCAGAAAATTGTCCATTTCCTTTAAATTTTCCAATTTTGTGGAGTACAGGTTTTCAAAGTATGACCTGAAGATTCTCTGGATTTCTTCAGTGTCCATTGTTATGTCCCCCTTTTCATTTCTGATTTTGTTAATTTGCATGATCTCTCTCTGCCTTTTGGTTAATTTGGATAACCTTTTGTCTATTTTGTTGATTTTTCTCAAAGAACCAACTCTTTGATATATTGATTCTTTGAATTGTTTTCTTTGTTTTGACTTTATTGATTTCTGTCCTCAGTTTGATTATTTCCTGTCGTCTGCTCCTCTGGGTGAATTTGCTTCCATTTTTTCTAGAGCTTTCAGCCGTGATGTCAGATCTCTGGTTTGATTATTCTCTAGTTTCTTCATGTGAGCACTTAGAGCTATGAACTTTCCTGCTTTCAAAGTGTCCCATAAGTTTGGGTATGTTGTGTCAACATTTTCATTGAATTCCAGGAAGTCTTTAATTTCTTTCTTTATTTCTTCCTTGACCCGGGAATGTTGCAAATGCTTGTTGTTCAATTTCCATGAGTTGGTAAGATTTTTGCACTTTGATTGTTTTTGATTTCTAACTTTAAAGCATGGTGGTCTGATAAGACACAG